CTTCACGCCTCTCTCTGTTTCACGCAGCATTTCAGAAGTCCCAAAAACACAGCAGGGCAAAAACAGAGCACTATATTTAAAGACCCCAAAACGGCCCCTCCTCCTCCTCCTTCTCCTTTATCCTCTTCGTCGCCATGGGAGAAGATGCAGAGTGGGTTCGGGTCGAAGGGCCCATCGTAATCGGAGCGGGTCCTTCCGGGCTCGCCGTCGCCGCCTGCCTGAAACAGAGCGGCGTCCCCTGCCTCCTCCTCGAGCGGAGCGACTGCATTGCTTCGCTGTGGCAGCAGCGGACCTACCACCGCCTCAAGCTCCACCTCCCCAAGCAGTTCTGCCAGCTTCCCCTCTTCGACTTCCCCGGAAACTTCCCAAAGTACCCTTCCAAGCGCCAGTTCATCTCCTACATGGAGTCCTACGCCGCCCACTTCTCAATCCGGCCCGTGTTTAACCAGGAGGTGAGGACGGCGGAGTTCCACCCCGCCCGCGGCGTCTGGGTCGTGGTCACCGGAGACCGCACGTACTGCTCGCCGTGGTTGGTCGTCGCCACCGGCGAGAATGCCGAGCCGCTGGTCCCGGATATCCCGGGGCTCGACCGGTTCGCCGGCCCCGTCGTGCACACGAGCATGTACCGGTCCGGTTCGGAATTCAAGAACCACAGAGTACTGGTGGTGGGTTGCGGGAACTCCGGCATGGAGGTCAGCATGGACCTGTGCAGCCATAACGCCAGCCCTCACATGGTGGTCCGAAACTCAGTAAATACTCACTTCTCCACTCTTTTTTCACTCCCAATTTTTTTTTACCTTCATTTATTTTAAAAATTAAAAATAATTTTTCACCCTTGGTTAATCTTTTTTTAACCGGTGGGGTCTGATTTTGGAATGAAGCAGGTCCACGTTTTACCCAGGGAGATGTTTGGGATATCTACATTTGCAATAGCCATGGGGCTGTTGAGATGGCTGCCGTTAAAAGCCGTCGACAAGCTACTTCTGCTGGCGGCGAACTTGACGTTTGGAAAGACGGAGAGGTTGGGGCTCCGGCGGCCGAAGACCGGTCCGATCGAGCTAAAGAACGCCACCGGGAAGACGCCGGTCCTGGACGTCGGAGCGTTGTCCTTAATTAAGTCCGGCAAAATAAAGGTACCCCTTCTAATTTGTTAGATTCATTCAAATTGATTAGCGGCGGCACGAATTTAATGTTTAACTTTAACATTTTGAATGATTAATATAATGACAGTGTTTAGTTAAAACTAATTTGTATCTTTAAAAAATTATGTAAAAAGAGTAGAATTCATACATGGGTAGTAGAATTTTGCATTTAAATTTGCCAACTTGGGTTTTTAGACTTGAAAAGAGTAAGAAATAAATTTAGTTGTGCTTTTCGAGGGTGTACTAAAACAGCTTCAAAACAAACATCCACATTAAGGAGTAATATTTAAAACTCATTTTAATCATGTTATAATTATGCACGGATTACTATTCTTTCTTGATATTTTAACTAAATAGTACTTCCTCCGTCCTATAATGTTCTTCTCACTCACTTTTTACACGGTCAAACGTTAATCACTTTCTTTACCTATTTTCATTAGGTATTTGATAAAATAATATAGTCTTGTCACCACTTGTTTTGTAAAACTTTTGATAAAGTTTTTAAATATATAAATTTATTTTTTAATTTTACACCTACAATCAAATAAATTGAATTGAAAATAAAGTCGGTCAAACTTCGTAAAATGAATCGAGAAGAACATTATAGGACGGAGGGAGTACTATATAGTAACTTTCTCAGAGTAATATCATATATTTTTATTTTCCAACGTAGTACCTTTGGCCATTGCTTACGGGCACGAAAACCGTTCCCGTTGACCCGTTCCGAAACGTGCCGGAACCGTTTTGAAATTGTACCTTTTTTTTGGATTCAATTTTTTTTGTCACGAACCCGTTCTGTCCCGATTTTAAGTGGGACATTACCGGGATAACATACAAGTGTACCGTTCCATCCCGTTTGTCCCGTTTTATATACTCTTCTACAACATTATATATATATATATATATATATATATATATGTGTGTGTGTGTGTATATATATGTGTGTGTGTGTATATATATATATAAACACACATATATTACTCCGTACGTATCTCGTGAAACATTATGGGACAAAGTGGGATACGTACGGATAATGGGACAAAGTGGGATACGTACAATAACAATTAATTTTATTGTCCTAAAATTAGGAAAAAGTAGGACAATCCGAATCCGTTCCGTTTTGTCCCGGTCCCGAAAATTATGGGACAAAGTGGGATAGACTTGTGGTTCGAACCGTTCCGAACCGTTTGAATATAACGGGACAGGACGCGGGATTGTAAGAAACCCGAACCGTCCCGACCCGTGCCCACCCCTATTGCCTACTGGTCATTGTTCAAGTAAATAGTCATTGCCACGGGAAATGTCTAATATCACTGGACATTGATCTCGCTACTAGACATTATTCAAATACCACAGAGTATTATTTATGTAATAAAAAAGTTTTAAGTATTACATTGAAAAAATGATATATACTCCGTATTTTAGTATGGAGTACTATTTAGCGCAAATTTCACTTCTTTCTTTCCCAGAAATAACTCTAACTGTGGTTGTTTTTTTGTTTGTCTAAGAAATTTTTTTTTTAAAGAAAGAAATGAGTAGTACCGAATTATTTTAATTTACTCTTAAAAAAAGTTCTAGCAATGTAGTTTTGATTGTTAAAAACGTTTTTCGTAGAATTGTTAAAATCTAATAAGAAAGAGAATTTTATTTTAAAAAGTGGATAAAATAAGTACTCATCATGATTAAAATTTGTGGCACAGAAAATGGTGACATTTTTGGGACAGAATATTTGAACGCCTTTGGAATTATTACTCCAAATATCCAAAATGTCGTTCCAAAATGAACGGTAAAAAAAATTTAATTCCTATATTTAAAAAAGGTATTTTCCCTCTTGCCCTTGAGTTTTAGTACACATTACGAAAGGGCCTGGGAATTGAACCATCATTAGGGGTGATTTCAGCATTATTTGGGATATCATTACTATTATTATTATTGTAGGGAGTATTTATTATGATTATAGTTATTATTATTATGGTTTTAATTTAATTTTTTGATAAGTATTATTTTTATTTTTATAAGTATTATTATTGTTATTATTATTTATTGCAGGTGATGAAGGGGGTAAAGGAGATAAGCAGAAATGGGGCAAAATTTGTGGACGGACAAGAAAAAGAATTTCATTCTATAATTCTTGCAACGGGCTATAAGAGCAATGTCCCCACCTGGCTTAAGGTAAAATATTTAAACAGTTTTACTTCTACTGTGTTACACGCAAATTTTACTGCATTAATTTTGACCTCTCACATGATGGAATTTTCTGTCAAAATGAATTTATCAAAATAAGTGTGATTTCATAATATAGAGTTTTATATTGTGGGGGTAAAAATTAGCTGTCAAATTTATTGACTTTGACCCCGTTTGGCATCCGCGTTAGAGATTAGTGTTAGCATTTTGAAAAGGCTATCCAATGGTAGCTTCAAACATTAGCATTTTCAGAATTAATCTGTGTCATTAAAATTTTATCCAAAATGGTAACATTAATTTAAAACGTTATTCTCTAACAAGGCCTATGATTTTATGATTGGATTAATCTTATCGATTCACTTGTCTTACTCTCTTCGTTCCAAAATGAATTGAAGGTTTACTTATGAGTTACGGAGTATCATTTATCAATAAAAATATTATGAAAAAAATGTGTTTTTTTTTGCAGTACAATACTCTGTATTGAGTACGTTACAGTAAATAAAAAAACAGAATGTATATGACAAAGTATGAGAGGTTCTTTTTGTTTTGTTTTTTTCGTTTTGTCTATTTATAATAGGGAGTATTAATTTGTAGTTGATGCTCCCGTCACTTTCGTCTTACACATGCAATATACATATCTGTATAGGCTACAAAACTTTCATTTGCATTTATTGAAGTAAAAGAGAAAATCTGGTCTCATTTCTTTGGACTTTTCCCTTCCCAAATTCATTTCCCTTGTGGCTTCTCCCCATTCTCCCCTTTTTATTCTTTTTTTTTAAATAAAATTGAAATTTAAAATGAATTATACACCTCTTGAAGTATACTTGAAGATTTTGGAGTTTTTTTCCTAACCCAAAATAAGTCTATCTACTTTCTTGATTTCATAAGTATTTTTTGAGGTCGGTTCTCGGAATCAATGTCACGGGATGACCCGTGGATGCTCCAGTGTCCCGAACACACCCCCACCCCTTCTGCATTTTGTCTTCTCCAATTTTCTTTTTCTCCAAATTCTCTTCAACGGCAAACACACGTTGGAAAAAAAATACTTACTCCGTTCCTATTGAATTCACCCTTATGTGGCATCCAATTGGTTGAACGTTAGTTACTAGCTCTATATTTGGTAGTTAACATTTGTAGTCCAACTAATGCACATTTTCTTAACATTATAACTTTCGAAATACATCAAAAATTGAATAATCCTCTGTGCCTACATTTATTCAATTTTTGACATGTCACAAAGGTTACAAACTCAGTTAATTATGGGAGATCAAATCTCACTACCAAAAAAAAGGTTGTGATCTTTTTTTTGTTGTGTTTTTCACATGGAAAATTATATTTGTACCTTATTTTATATCTCAAGGTATATCCTGACATAAAATATATGTGTATAACTAGTATTGTGTCAATATTGCACTTATATTTTATGTGAGAACAAATCTTTGGGGTACAAAATACAAGTGAGAATAGTACAACCCTTTCCACATATGAAACTCGTTGTGGCACGGGTTTTGAGGGCTAAATATAGGGCTACTGAGGTTGTGGAGCTTCAAAAAATACAAATTAATAAATAAATGAACCCCCAAAAGTCACAGTGTAGTTAATACTCACTTTAAGTTCTTATTATAGCCATACATAGGTCAAAGAATTCCTTCCATCTTCCCTATAACCCACTTGCCCTTTTCACTCAAAAACCCCAAAAGCCAGCAGCCACTTCCCTGCCCTGCGGACTTTCGCATTAATTACCTGCCCTAATTTTCCTGACATTTTTAGTTGACCCTCTTTACCCCCTCTTGGCATTTCCCCCCTCCTTTCCAACTTCAAATCACTCCTTTCATATGTTTTTTCACTCCTCTTGGATTTTATCTCAGTACTTTTTTTTTACCTTTTTCAATGTTCAGATATGTTATGTCAAAATATGCGTCACTGAATGTGTCAATCATCTGTATAATACGGAGGAGAACGAACATTTTTCAGACCCGGTCAACACATGCAGTGACACATACTCTGGAATACATATCGTTTTAGTGTATGTTGTCTATGTTCGGTTTCACATAGTGAAACGAATCTCTATCTAGCAACTAAATGAGTTGAACGATTCGGTGACGAATCCCTTTCCAAAGTGGTCCTTTGGGGTTTGGGAATGCACTTTGAATAACTTATAGTGTGCTCAAAAATGGACCTTAGCAAGCTTAGTACATGAGAGCAGCAAAGACTGGAAAACAATTTGGACCACCACATGCAAAATTCTGCAAACTTAAACTTTTTTTTTTCACCATAATGAACTCTTCTAAGGCTCTAGAGAGCTTGGTGTTGGTTTGCTGGATCCATGAAAGAACCTGAATTGTGATTTGTGAAACTGTTGTAGGGTTGTGATTTCTTCACGGACGAAGGGATGCCGAACACGCCCTTTCCAAACGGGTGGAAAGGGGAGAACGGGTTGTACACCGTTGGATTTACACGAAGAGGGCTTCTAGGGACCTCATCTGATGCCATGAACATTGCTAAAGATCTTGCTCAACAATGGAGGAAACCTTGTTCCAGTTCTACCCCTACTTCCCTATCATCATAGCCAATGGGTACGGTGCGTGCCATTGTTAGAGGATAGTTTTGGGAGAATGGAGGGGTAGATTGGTAAGAGCAAAGGGAATTTTTTTTTTAATTTAAATGTTCCCGAAAGTAGTGGAAGTTGTGGTATGCCATTTTTTTCAATCATCTCTTTCTTGGAAACAAATCATTTGTAAATATCCAATTTTGCTTAGGGATCTGTTTTCTATTCTCTTAAAATTAACTTGTGTAACACCAATTGTGGGTATGTAATGTTAGAATAAAAGTTGTGGAAATAGAACTCTCCTCTTCCAAATCAATATATATATATATATATATATACTTGCATTGGATTCCCATTGCATGTGTGTGTGAGCTTAAAATTTTAGATTGTGGATTTGTGGTCTACCAAAAATTGCTTGAAATAGAATAATAAAAAAAAGTGTGACTTCACCTCTAATAAGAAGAAAAACATTATAATTAAAGTATTTTTGTGTTCTTTACTCCCCAACTCTATAAAAATTACATTAATAGTTCCTAAATATTTAAAAATGATATATCAATAATCTCTTCGCACCAAATTTGGGGTTCCATTAATGATACGCTCATCCAATGATGGATCCATCTAAATCCATATACCAAACGTGAGTTCTGCAACATTCCCTTGTCCAAACTTATTTTTTCTATATTTTTAACTTCTTAAAACTTAGATACTTATTTTAACTTTAGTCGTTGACAACTGAACTCAGAGGTCGGGCATTAGCAAATCAAGTTTTTCACCAATCCATAATATCTTCATCAAACACCAAGTGATATATTAATGAACGTGTGATTAACACGATCAAAAAGATATATTGACGCAATATTTTTCTAATGTTCAGGCAATAATAGTGTAATGTTTAAAGTTTAAAGAAATCCAAGCAATTTTTCTTATTTGGTCAGAGAGAAAAAAAGAAAACAAAATTGGAAGAAAAAGAAAATAAAGAGACAAAATATACTAAGTAGAGAGAAAATCTAATTCTATCCTGTGAAGAAAATGAGAGAAAATCATTTCTTTTATTTTCATTCCAAATTTCTTGAACCAAATACTCCCTCCGTCCCGAAGTATTCGTCCACTTTTGACTTTTGGAACTGTTCATCTAAGCACTTTGACTCATGAAATTCTCTCAATTTGTAAGCCTAAATATAGTCATGTGTGATCTTGTTTGATTTGTCTTAACATATAGATTATTAATATATAATTTTTTAATATACAAATTACAAGATAAAATGGATTAAAGAAGTGTATTGGATGGTGTGTAAAAATGAAAGTGGACAAATACTCTGGGACGAAGATAGTATAATAGAATGGGATCTTAGTGTATTTGACTATTGTTTTCCTGGAGCTATATGGGTAGGGTAATGGTAGTGTTTTGTGAGAGAGGAGCGTAGTGGATGATAAGAGTAGGCCGGTAAAAGGGTGAAAAGCAGGGGTGAATATCCATCAGGTTTATAAATCAGAGCACGTAAGTGAAGTGGAGTAGTTGGGTGGTGACGATGAAGAGAAGATTGGAGAAAGAAGAAGAAGAAGATGTGAGATCAGAGCAGTGATGGGGCTGGGAAGAAGCTATACTATACGTACCTCAGCTATGCTATGCTATATTGCTATAAGCTATAGAGATGGACAGGTGGGAGAAGAGGCAGGCAGAGAGAGGGAAGAAGAAGAAGAAGAAGAAGGTGAAGTGGTGACTGATGAGCAGTTAGTTGTCCATATGCACTGCTACATTTGGAGTACTGTCAGGCCTCCATCATTGTTTTCACTTACTATCTTCCCACCCAAAATAGATTTTACAATTACTCCTTCGGGCCAGTGGACGTTGAGCATTTAGTAAGCCAAGGAATGTCATCGGGTAAGATCCTCCGAGTTCGAATCCTAGCAACTGCACTGGGAGATAACTATGCTATGTGAGTCTCTACAGGTACCAGGTGCAGGCTCTACTCTTTACCACCAATCTCCGTTTAAAATCCAATTTACCCCCTCTCAGCGACCGTCCGGCCGAGTCTGAGAGAGCCCTCGAGGATAGGGCTCATCCCTTTACAATTATTCTCTCCGTCTTATCTTTTCAGTCACTATTTGCATATTAAAATTTTGATAATCCTGTTTATCGATTTTTGTTAGTTATTTGATGAAATAATTTAGAAATCCTATTCTCAGGATAAATTCAATCTTTTACTCCTATTTGAATGATTTATTTAAATAAAATTATATACTCTATTAGTCTTAAAAAAAGAATTGCACTCTTCAGTATTCAAAAGTCACGAAAATTGTTGTTTATGATTGGATTTTAATTGATTTTTTGATAAAATAAAATATTTTTCCCACCTTTTATTTTGTAAAATTTTTGACGACGTTTTCAATACATAAATTTTCTTTTTAATTGCTGAAGTAAAGGGTAAGGCACTCTTCAGATCTATCATGACTCAGCTTTCAGCTGAACATGTAGTCTCTGTTGACTTTGTCTACACGCTGGTAGGAACAACCATGGATTGGATGAGAGGTCCAGGGGTCAGTGATCAGCGCGGAGTGGATTGCCAAGATTGATTTTACTAATAAATTTATTTGCTAAATTTAATCACTTAAATTTTCAAGGATGTTGTGTTGTTGTTAAGGACTTCCGTAGTGTTTTGACTTATGTTTTGAATTGATAGTGATGGTGTAAATTAACCACTCGACAGACTGTATTAGACCGGGTCTAGGATAGTCTGTTGAGCTTAGAGAATGAAAGGGGGAGAAAACAATGAATGATCAGTAAGACTCTAGGTTCAAATACTTGTAACCCAATTATTTTTAAGTATTGAAGTTATACATGCTACTATTACAATATGAACTCTAGGAAAATAAAGTTTGAGTGCCTTCATTTGAGGGTTACAAAGTTATTTATAGGAAGATGATGGGACAGAGCGTCGCACGTCCATATTAGCCCACGTCTCATACGGTGCGAGGTGACTTCCTTTTGTCCCGTAGTATTTTGTCTTATTCCCTTGTCATCTTGTGCTGATAATACTTCTTTGGCGCGTAGTGCCCAGATGAGAATGTTGGATTATTTCCGCAATTTTTTCGTTGATATTGGTCGCTACCCTCCAATCACCTTTGAAGCTATTCGTGCCGACACTTTCACACCATAGCAATCTTCCCGGTAGGTTCACCGGTCATGCGTTTTGAAGAACAGAAAACCTCTAGCATGAAGTCATGTACTTTGACCGGTGATCCTACATTTTATAACGATCAGTTTCTTGAATCTTAACGGTGGGCCATATTCTCGTATAAATCTTCCATTCTGATATACTTGCGTTTGACAAGTCAACTGCCGTGGATCCGGATTCAGACCGGGTCCTGAGTGGAATACACCTATCAGATAAATTTGATTGTTTGGGTGCATCAAATGTTTTAAATATATGACCATGTGGATATCAATGAGTAGCAACACAGTTCCTTAACCAATTTATTTGAGATACGTAATTTGGAGTGTTACGATAAAAGAATGAGTACTAGCACACAAAAGAATGAACATATTTAATCCCTAATAAATGTGTTACTACTCATAATGCAAATGGGTACCAACACATAACAAATGTGTACAAGTTAAGCACATAGAGAAGAATGAGCATAACTGAATTTGTCTTAAACCCACCAACATATGCTTGTGCCGGAGAAGATCAACTAAGATCTCAAAGAGGCGACCAACTGTGTAGCACCTCCATCTCTTTTTTCATCGCAGTCTTGCTGTTTTGTATCCATCTTCAATGCATGGTGCATCGCCACTATTATCGGTGGTTTGATTGTGTCATTTGTTTGCCAACAATCCATCACCTTCCTCCAAAATTGACTCCAGCTATGACAGAGAATCAAATAACCAGACATGACTAATAATTTACGTGGTGATACTATGGCGACAGTGCAGGTGGAAATGTGGTAGTGACAACGAGAATGTGTAAGCAAATGTATTATTGTGGCTGTGGAGGTGATAGTGTAGCTCAGTGGTGGCACTTTGTCAATAATAATGATAGTGTTACGAGGATGGAGGTGACAATGTGGTACCCTGACAGACATCGGTTGGCACACGTCGACTAGTTGTAGTGGGGCAGCGATTGCTAGTGGTGTGGCGGTGATTGTGGTAGTGTGGCGATGTTGTGGTAGTGTAGAAGTAATAGTGGGGCAGTGGCATCGTGGTCGATGACAGTGTAGCAATGTGACACTATCATCAATAATCAAGCAAGAAAATATCACTTTATTAAAAAAATACGGAGTAATTCTTATTTATGTCTAAAAATATCATGATTTCATTTTAGAGATCTAGATTTCATTTTACTTATATTCTTGTAGTTCTCCCAAAAATTTTCTCATTATAATATGCTATGAGTCCCAAATCAATCTTCTTAATTTCTATTTCGAAATCTAAACTATTTATATTCGTATGCATGTTTTTTAATACTCCGTAATTTGATGAAGATAAACTATTTTTGTCACCAATTGTATAATAAAAAAAGGTAATTTGGTTTTAAGGGATGTAATTTAAATTTTTTAGAAATCATTACAAAAGATTTTACTTGTTCTTCGAAATGAAAATGAATAAATTGAGATTGAGGGATCATGAAGAAAGGTACACTCTCCGTCCCTAAAATTATTTATCTTCCTTTTTCATTTAAGATAATTTAAGAAAATCAACACAAATACTCCCTCGATCCTTAAAAAATTGCCACAAATTTTTTTGGTCAAACTATGATACCATTTGATCGTGAATTATAGATAAAGTATATTTAGTTATAATTTAATTTAGTAAAATTTTAAAATATAATTTTAAAATATCAAATTTTTAAAGTATATCATTTTATTATAAAATTTTATAAAAATCGAAATGAGAAAGATTAGAGTAATTTAATGAGAAAGATTGTCAAAATTTAACTATTTTGTCAAACTATAATACGTTTTGATCGTAAATTATTCAAAAGTATATTTAGTTGTATTGTGAATTTAGTAAATTTAGATTTATTTTAAAAAATAATTTTGAAATATTAAATTGTTAGAGGATATCATTTCATTATAAAATTTCATAAAAATGGAAATAAGAAAGATTAGAGCAATTTAATGTCCTCCGAATCACACGCCTCCCTTAGCTTCCCTTCCCTTCCTTTGATCGAAATCCTTCAGCGCACGCATAACTATACGCAGACTCACTCCACTGACGTCACTCATTCCTCCGTCACATCGCCGGAGTGGCACTTCTTTACTACGGAGTGCATGCATCACTATTTCTCCATT